GGATGGCCACGCCTCAATCCCTTCTCCTCCATTCTCCTCTTGGGATCTTGGGCATGCACGCACATGCGCCCGGCGTGAGTTTAAGCCACCATATCCGGGATGCGAACTGCTGTCGACTACATGGGAGTCCAGCGACATAGCCATTACGCTACCTGATGGTCCCTTTTTATTTTTTTTTTTTTATTTCTAGAGAGATTTTTGCTATAGGGCACTTTCACTTTGTGGAGAGACAGAGAGAGACAGATAGGAAGCGAGAAATCACCCCCTTGAGTGGATGGCCCCAGCCCAAATCCCCTTCTCCTCCATTCTCCTCTCAGGATTTGGGCATGCATGCACACGCGCCTGGTGTGAGTTTGAAGCTGTTGGGTCCAGGATTCAAACTGTGGTTGACCATGTGGGAGGCCAGCAATGTATCCCCTACACCATCCTGTGGTCCTAGGGCTATGTAAGCAGAAAACACTTACATGAAACAAAAGTCTGTAAGTTTACAAGCAAATTCATAGAGACTTTACCTTAATTGATAGTAAATATTAAGTCAAGCAAGATGCACTTCCCTAGAGAATTAATCTTTTGATAGGTCTGTTAGAAAATGCTCTATTGTGAAATGTAAAATACATCCCTTTGCCTTCTTTACAAGTTTTGCATAATTTTTCTTACCATCATGTAAGAACACGGCAAAGGGTGTGGCCTTACGTTGCTGGAATTAAAAATCATTAAGCTGTCAGGAGACTGCTCTCTCCCATGCTGTCAGATATCATCTGGAAACCAGATCCATCAACTTTTGTCATTAGCCTCTCTCTCCATAGGGTTTAAATATGTCTCTGAGGCTAGGCAGGAAAATCAATACCCAAGAAAAATAAGGTACCATCTTCTTTATTTTCATCTCTCCCCAGGTGCCCATTCAAACCCCCTTTTCACAGGTGCCCTGTGCAATTTGATACGATGCAAATAAGTATCTTTGAGTCGACTGCCTAACCAAGTCATGACATGTCCAGGCATGGTTGAATTCCAACCATGGGAACAATTAACACAAACTGGGAGACTCACAATAGTCATCTTCTTAGATGATTACTGTCATTCCAAGAGGTCATGCAGGATGTCACATAGCTGGCTTGGGAATAATGCATGGCCATTGCCAAGTCCAAAGGCAGCGCCCACTACCCATACTGCCCTACTGGAGACTAAAATGACATCTTGATTTATGACTCTCCCTAATTTGGATCAGGTTGCTGATTCTCATGAACTCTGGATTTGAGAGTACCTGAACCCCACTGAGACAAACCAGTGAGTCAGAGGCAAGCAGGCATGGATAATAATTCTGTACCATCCTCTTTGTTTAGAGTCTGGTAGTCCTAGTATATCTTGACCATCTTTTTTAATTTTTTTAAATGAAAATAAAAAAGTTATCCATTTCCTCCATGAGAAAGAGACAGAGAGACACCTTCAACATGCCATGATCCAACCTAAGTTCTAGCCAGCCCTGAATGATCACACTGCGATCCCATCTCCTCCATCTCTTTCTTCTTTTGGTAATCTGGGCACCCATGCACATGTGTCCCACGTGTTTATCAAGTCACTGGGTTTAGGACTTGAACCATACTGTTGGCCATGAGGGATCCAGCAAGCTTTATCTACCAGGTCATGAGCTGGCCTGGCCCAGTCTTTTTT